TCAAATCTGATAATAATAATAATAATAATAATTTAACCTCACGTTGGATCAATTATATTTACACTCAGCCTCCAAAACATTCGTCTATCCAAAATGAATGAAATATCAGGTATTGCTTTGTAATTAAAACAGTTTTTTTATCGCAGTGGAGTTAATTATATCTATCAGACTCTGCATCTATGTTTCTGTGCATGACGTTTTTTAAGGACAATGAATACAGAAGTTCATCCAAAAGTTTCACAGAAAGTAAAAAAAATAATAAATCCAAAGTATTTATTTTTCGTACTGTATTTTTGAAAACCGCATCATATCTTACCTGTAGTTTATGCTGGTGAGAAAATGATTTGCATGTCAAGTTAGTCATTCAGAGACTTTTGAATGTAATGATTTTTTTCATTAATTATTTTTTAGTTTTGATGACAATAAAATAACCCATATACATTAATACAAGTAAGTTTTAGCAGATATCAGTTTTGTGGCTTTACTATTATACTTGTTATATTAAACAAACAGACCATCAGAACTGTCAGAACAACTACATTTTGTACACAGATCAAATGCATGCACATCATATTGTACAGTACAAACGACTTCTTTCATTTTATCACAATTTAAACCTGTATGACATTAAAGTCAATAAGATATTGTAGATTATGACAATTAGCATAAAAGACACATCTCCAAATCCCAAGGAGATTGCTTTGTGGTAAATTTGTGTATTCAAAATACTGTATTTTCTAGATCAGTGGTTCTCAAACTGTGGTACACGTACAGTTGAAGTCAGAATTATTAGCCCCCTTTGAATTTTTTTTTCTTTTTTAAATACCCCCAAATGATGTTTAACAGATCAAGAAATTTCCATTTCACAGTATGTTTGATAACTTTTTTCTTCTGGAGAAAGTCTTATTTGTTTTATTTCGGCTAGAATGAAAACAGTTTTTAATTTTTTAAACTCCATTTTAGGGTCAAAATTATTAGCCCCTTTAAGCTATATATTTTTTCGATAATCTACAGAACAAACCATCGTTATACAATAACTCGCCTAATTACCCTAACCTGCCTAGTTAACCTAATTAAGCCTTTAAATGTAAAGCCTTTAAAGTGTCTTGAAAAGTATCTAGTCAAAAATTATTTACTGCTATCATGGCGAAGATAAAATAAATCAATGATGTGAGATGAGTTATTAAAACTATTAAGTTTAGAAATGTGTTCTAAATGTGTAAAAATCTTCTCTCCGTTAAACAGAAATTGGGGGGAAAAAAAAAACTAACAGGGGGTGAATAATTCTGACTTTAACTGTACCACAAGTGGTATGCAGGCTTCCTTCTAGTTGTACACGGAGGACTTGCTGAATAATTAAAATAAAAAATCAACACACTTTTAACCCTTTGATGCGTACGATAACACAGATGTGATCAGGAAATTGATTTTAATAGGCTAAACTTTTTATTTTATTTTACATTTTCCAATGTTTGTTATGTATTCTATCATTTGAAGATAATTTCCTGTCCATATTTGTAACAGTTGTTGGGGCGTATCCCGTATTTTTATATTCTAATGGTGACAGGTATGATTTAATCACTTGCTTTTCTGACACTCAAAGCCTTGTATTTTGATCTTACAAACTGGATGTGTTTTTTTTTTTAATTGTGTTTTTATCTTACAAACTGCATTTGTGTATTTATTTATCGTGTTTTGAATTTATGAATTGGATTTTTGTATTTACGAATTGTTTTTTGAACCTATGAACTGAATTTTGTAAATGTGACTTGTGTTGTGGATGTATTAATTATATTTTGTAAATGTATTATTTTTTAGACTCATCTAAAATGACATAGAATGACAGAAAATGTTGTTTGTGGACGTTTTCTTGAGCAACTGTATTGACTCAAAAATATTTTTTTTTTATACAACTTAATTGTTTTATGTTCATTCCACTTATATTTGTAAAAGCGAACTAGGTAACTTAATAAATTTTTGTTGGGACAACAAAGGAATTTTCTGCATTTTTTACAGTGTATCACATGTAAAAGTAATTTTCAAGTCAGAACTCAAATTGTTTGGTGACAGTTAAGGGGTTAAATGCTATTTGAGAACAGTTTGCCTTATCAACTCAAGTTTAAAATGTCATTTGTAAGCATAACCCAAAGTTAGGTCAAATTTGAATAAAAATAAGCAAGCGGAGGAATTTAAAAATTTTTTTTTTTTTTGGGAATAAAAACTATTGTGATGGAAAATCATATCATGAGCTGCAATCTAATCATTTTGACCACAAAGATTCAGGAAACCATATATCTTTTAAAAGAAATGTTGCTGTATTGTATGACACCTTAGGGGGCTGTTCACACAGAATATGTATTTCCATTCTAGTGTGCTACTTTTCCATTGTTTTTCTATGTAAACGTGCATGCACTTGATGGATGGACTTGACCATTGGGCTCACGTCTTGCATATTTTGTTTTTAAGATGGCGTGACAACACCATTTATTAATGTCAGTTCCAAAGCAGTGGACCAATCAGAAGAACTCAGAGGTCTTTCTGTGTGAACAGCCCCTTGGAATGCCAGTCACACCATATTTCAGATTACAAAGCACACACAATATTCTGGAAAATACAGTATTTATAATATTACTAAAGAAATATTTATTTTGTAGTAACATTTGATAAAAGAAACAGTCAAATGGTGCAGTAAGTAACTCTCCACTATTTTGCTTTGTTGAAGAAATGAAGTCAAACATTTGTGGAAAGTCTCTCATTGTTGTCCTTCTTGCTTGCAGCTATGCTGTGATTGTCCCACCACCCCCTCGAAACCAAAAACAAGGTGAAGATCTGTCTGCATTATGTCGTTCCCGAGGACTGACACGGCAGCTTCCTCATAGTTTCAGAGTGAGTAAGAGGCAGTGATCTGATTATAGGAATGAAGTGTGTCACAGCATAAGAAACTGCAGTTTTTATCTGGCAAAATAATGAACAGAAGAACCCTCTGCTAATATTGGCACCCTAAGCAAATATTAGCAAAATACGGCTGTGAAAGAAATTGTTTAACCTTTTGATCTTTTGCTCTAAATATTAAGAACCCTGCTCTCACTGAGGACAAACAATTGCAAACAGCGCAGTTTATTCAAAAACAATTATCTCTATAAATATATAAGCGCCAATATTATTGCCACCCCAATGAATTCATACAAGCAAAATATTTTTGAAGTATATTCCCATTGGTATTTTACTTGTTTAGTACACTCAATTAATCATTACAGGGCTACAAATATGAGGTAAAACTTAGGCCAAACTTGCTCAGTCATTCATCACGACCAAAAGACCAAAAACAGCAGTGATTTATTGCAAAATGTTGTCGAGTTGTACAAATTGGAGGAAATGGCCAGTTCCACCATCAACATCAATGCAAAGAAATGTCAGCAAACTGCAAGTCTAGAAGAGGACATGTGTCTATATTTGCCAAAGAGGATGGTTTCAGTGACTGAAAATCTCCAGGAATAACAGCTGGACAATTGCAGAAGTTACTTATGTCTTACTGTGGGTTTACACCAAACGTGGAGCCCTGTGTCATTTGATTTAGTTTTACTCGCTGGATGTTTTGCATGAGTTACATTTTTTGAAAACATGAAAGCGTCAAACTCATCAGGCAGTCTGTTATTTGTGGTGCCTGGTACAAATTTGCCTCTATTCACATATTTGCATTCACTTTATATGTAACTTATTCACGCGAATACATCGATTCCAGGAGCCAGGGAGTGAGCACCGCCTTGTGGTACTATCGCAGAGAGGCTATAAGTAAACTTGCTCGGAATCTGTGCAGGATTTCTGCAGATTTTTAGCCCATCATTGAGTCTATGTATTTACGTGTGTAAATTTATATTTATTCAATTATTATATGTATTTAAATTAATTTCAATATTATTATAATATAATATCAGTAATATTAAAATGTTTGTATGATCTATGTCCAATACAGTTTGTAGAGTAATATTTGTAGTGAGTAATTTATGTCTTTTAGTAGAGATTTAATATGAGACTTGCTTTGTTTAGCAAATAAATTACTGTAGACTTGCTTTGTAAACATCAAATAACAGTAAAAAATATATATAATTTTTTTATTTCATATATTAAGTTTGTACTTATGATACTCCTAAAATCATTCCGTATAAATCTGCAGAATTTTTTTACAAAATTCTCAGCAGAAATAGCAAAAAATGTTCGCAGATTCTGTCTGGCCCTAAGTTTTAGTCACTTTCCAAAACTTTTCATTCAATGTTCCTCGCTTTGTGGAATGATCTTCTCATTACTACATGGACGGCGGATTCATTGGTATCCTTTCATAGATTTATACATTAGATGTCGCCTACCCTGTTGTTATCTATTGGAAGGAATGCGCCAATATAACCCCCATTTTAGTACAGGGTTGCGCTCCTTTGAAATGAATGCGCGACCAAGCTGCAGTGGAGGACTGTGGCCATCCAAAGCCAGAGATACACACATGTACACATATATCTATGATTGGGAGTTTTCCTGGAGGTCAGTATACAATTTCTTTTTAATTAAGAAAATTATAATTTCACATCACTTTTCTACATTGATGGATAAGTGATCGCAAAGGCATTCCTAACAAAAAGCTTGTGTTTGTGTGTACCCCCCTGCACACCTCCTGCTTTCACTTCTCATACTGACAAGGGAAGCGATTCGTTTGTATGAATCTCTGTTATGAATGACACCTTCACTAGCTGACAATAATACAAGATTCTGGCACCACAGCATCTCATTGTCATACTTCTTTTGCATTGTTTGCTGATTTTATTCAACAAAACTAGCATGAGCCAAGTATTTAATGCGAGTTGGTGCTTCTTTGCCTTATGGTGAATGCAATAAGAGACTATTATTATCATTAACGTTACCTGTTTAGCACAAAAGTTCAAAACATACAAAAAAACAAAAACAAAAAAAAAACAATCTTACCTATGAAATGTTCTGCTTTTTTGTTTTGTTTTCTTTGTTTGTTCGTTACTACACCCGTAGACAGCGCTAACGTCCAGCATCTTCACGTAGTAACACTTGTCTTGACTAGTGCGGTTGAAAGACATTTTTCCTAAGAGCACTGTACCAATGTGGGGGCGCTATTGACGCAAGCTCAGGGTCCCTTTGCGATATCTAGACCATATATCTATGGTATCTGTCAAACGACAACTAAAAACCCATCTTTTCTGAGAGCACCTAATCCCTGGTGAATAAAACCTAGACCTCTTTTCTTTATCTCCACATCAACACACACCAACACAAAATACTATAAATTCTGAGTGTGCCTCACACAGATGAGTGGGCCTAACAAACCACCTGTAGAAAACACACTCATTCATCTCACTGACATATTGACCGACTCAAATACTGTGCATTTATGAAGTGTGCTTCACACAGATGAGTGGGCTTGGCAAACCACCTGTAGAATCAACTTCGCAAAAACAATAAAACTCTAGCAGTCTTAAGCCGTGCTCACACTGCACGTTTTGCCCCATAGACTTTTATTTATGCGCATGCGAATACAGCAGACCAGAAATGTAAGCTCAGATGACAAGTTTCACAATTCGCTGCATTAGAAAGTTCAAGCTTGGTGAACTCTGATCTGTGAAATCGCATTACTTGGCTGTGTGAGACCAATCAAAGATCAAAACATGACCTCTCTGGACAGAAATTTAAAATATGCACCAATCGCTCGCTTTTTAAAGTCATATTATTTAATACCGCTCCTTTTTGTAGCGCCGTACGACAGAATTTTGCATGCTTAAACTCTAATGTGAGCGCGGGATTACTCTAGCACTTAATTGTCTGAGCACAAGCAAGTTACTTTGTATAACTTCTTGTGTGTATTACCTCTTCTTGTTGAATGCCTCCTCTTTTGTAAGTCGCTTTGGACAAAAGCATCTGCTATATGACTAAATGCAAATGAATACTTCCACATTTGGTGTGAACCCAGCATACGTGTCAGAAACTCTCCAAAAACTCAAATCCAAGCTCATGTACAAGAAAAAAAACCCTCTACTCTCATACAAAAGGAGCAAAAGGTTAAACAACAATAAAAAAAATCTCTGAAAAAAAGCCTGATTAAATCTTTAGCATTGAGTTATTGCCGTACCCAATCTGACCCAATCAATCGCCATTGTGAGCATCTGTGTTTTGTCACCCTTAAACAAAAAAAGAGTGCCAATATTAATGGATTGTGATTGTCGGAAGTAGACAAAAATCAGACGAGGTGAAAGACAAAGAAACGGAAGGTTGCATAGAAGTGGCAAAATAACATCCAAGCTCAGTTTAATCAAGCCTGCAGCAAAAAAGCAAGGCACGTCCTGAAAAGAAGTGGGCCAATCAGAGCACTCCATATTCCCTCAGAGACCTGATGAGGACAGTGTCTTTCACGTCACCGAAAACCTTCCGGATGTTATTGGTGTCCGTGGCGCAGGTGAAGTGAGGGTAGATCTGTTTGGACGTCTTTGTCTCGGTACATTTGGCTTTCTGTTCGTACAAATGGGAGATGTAGCTCTTGGCGTCCTGCACGTCCCGTCGTCTGCCTGCGTGGGGCGGCACCACAGAGGAGGGGAGGGGTTAGTGCAAGCTTGCAAGAGAACTGGGAGGAGCACATGCAAATTAAAAGAGGCGGGGACAGAGGGAGAGTCTGACCAATCAAATTCTTTTGTTAAGAGCTTCTGCTAGAAAATTTAAGGCACAATATGTACAGATTGTTTTTTAAAGTAAAATATCCAAAAGCCCACTAGAACAGTGTTATATATTTTGCTGACTTATGCACTTATAACAAATGTTTTGAAGAATATTTAAATCCAGAGTTTTAAGCAATTTTATAACTCTGGCATTATTACAGAACATTAAGATCTATTAATTATGATAAAACAGCGCTGCTTCTTTCGGAAGCTGTTGAGTGTCATAATAAAAGCTTCGCTGCTTTATTGCCACGTCAACTTTACTAATTCCCGCAGCTTTACTCTGCTTCGTACTAGCATGATAATACATTCTGAATACTTTAGCTCATTAATGAATTTAAGGTCTTTGCACACTAAATTCCGAAATTATCATACCTGTTTTTTTTTTCGTATTCATATGCAAAAATTCGCCACTTAAACAAACCTTGTGGACACTGAGTCCGATGCGTATTAATTAAACCATTTCGAAAAAAAATGCTAAATGTTTCTGAGTCAATTTAAGCAGTGATACATTATTCTCCTCTCCATAATAGAAATAGGAAGAGAAATATGCTCACCCAATACTAACCTGCATAGAGAGGAAGGATAGTTCTCCTCCTTATCAAAGAGTTGCGCTGGATTATCCCCAAATGCAAAGTTAATTTAAGAAATCAGTGGAATTTTGATACATTTCTTATGATAGTTCAAATGTTTACGTACGTAAACAAATCCTGAACAGAGACTGGCAGTAGCTTTAGATATTATAATAGATGATGGCCGCATTGACTGAATCGGACCATGAGGCGATTATGTCTATGTCTATTATGTTGATTTTGTGTCAAATGTATGAGCACACACTAGGGTTGTCACGATTTCATCAATTCAGGCCACGATACTATACCAGCTGAAATATCACGATACCAAGTAGTATCGCAAAACTGCAATAATTCACAACTCAAATATACAAAATAAAGCAAATTGTCAGAAATACCATATTTAATGTCATAATATTTAAGTTCAATTGCCTTATTATTGAAAACATATTATTTGTACAGACTTTCTCTGCTTTTTTGTATATACTGTGACTCCTTTGTTATTGCAATAATAATAAATAAATAATAATGACTGCAGCAATCTATGACCCGTATGCAGACAGTTAAAATGAAATTAAAATAAAGTGGTCTGTTGATTATTTGCTGGCACAAACATTTGAGCATTTTAGTGACTTTTCCATATTGTAAAACCGTAAATGACGATACTACCATTTACAAACTACAGTAGCACCACCAGTATTTTTGGGCCATAGTATTGCGGTGCTACCTAAGTACCAGTAAACCGTGCAACCCTAGCACACACACGTGCACACGCACCCCAAACAGCAGCAGCGGAGAGGCGTGACAGTCACAGAATATATCGTGGGTTCTCAACTGTCCACCACATTCTGTTTTATATTATGCACTGTGTTTGTCATAAAGTTATCTGAGGCTCAAGTGACAGCATTTTGTATTTTGCCGTTCGTTGTACGGTGGCTCTGCACTGTCAAAACACCTCTGATAAAAAGTGCTTTTTCAGATGCCAAAAAAATAAAAAATAAATCATATCCAAATTTTTTTAATGATAGACGAAAGTTTCAGAAGCAGTGTGTTAGTAGGATTCAAACAACATGAGGTTGAATTAATTTTTTACGTTTCAAAAATCACGGATGAAAATTTCAGATTCAGTGTGTAATAACCTTTAATTTCCGCAGTTCCTTAGATATAATGAAGACCACAACTCCCATGAGTCATCAAGTCAAGTCATCTTTGTTTGTTGTGAATATGTGTCCTCTAGTGGCGAAAATATACTGTGAAACATACTGTATACTAAAACATACTGTGCCTTTTTTATTGAACCCTTTTGGGGCGAATTGAGACCAAAGTTAATAGCTGATTTTTGTGTTGGGTTAATGTTGTTTAAAAGAGACAGTTACTTCAAAAATGCAAATACAGACATATTATATTTACATTTTTGATTCCTGTTGCAGAATATAAATGGACATGTTTAGCAGAATGTGTACACACAGCTCTTTTACATACAAACTGTTTATGTAATCAGAAAATCCTTAAATTTATTTATACATTTAATAACTATTGATTTAAAAGGTTTTATCTGCATTCTAGGTAGTTTTAAAATAGCAAAAATGATTTAGGGAGCCAAAAAACGTAAAAAAATAAGAATAATATGTTAATAAATTAACATACTCATTTATTTTATCAGTAACATTGTGATTAATATATTTAATGTTTAAAAAAATTATGTGAAATTATTAATCATAGTTATTCTTCAGAAATCATTTAGTTGGACTTTTCGGTTGTTACTTTCAATGGCTTTGGTCTACAAGAGATCTATAGCACTCAAAACGAGGCCATTTTTCAACAAACAAAACAAGAAATTGATAAAGGCGAGGAGCATAGCTGTCATTGTGATTTTAAGTCTTGTTTTCGTACCTTGAAACTCAGGGAAGTAGGCTTTTAAATCAGACGACTGGATCTTTTCCTCCAGGATGTCCATCTTGTTTAGGAAGAGAATGATGGAGGCACTGGCGAACCACGGCGAGTGGATGGTGGTGTAGAAGAGCGACAGGCTCTCTTTCATTCGATTCTAGAGCCGGAGAGAGAGGAAGCGTCAGTTAATTAAATGAGATAGAGACATGAGGTGCTAGAGACATTACGTAATTTATCAGTACTACATGTGAAGAGAAGGTGCAAACAAACGTGGATCTGTCAAGAAATGGTTGAGTCATGTTTCTCCTCAATGGAATAAAAGGTAATATTTGTGCATAAATAAAATGAAGCCTATTTTTAGGACAACTTAGATGTTGTGACGTTATTTTCTGCATGACTAAAATCAAGACATTCTTTTGCACAGATAAACAACCTTTAAACTGTAGGTTTGAAATGTTGGTGCTTGGTGTGGTAATTAAATTTATGCACATTTTCATTTTTTGGAACTTTATCAAAAATGTTACATCAATGCAATACAAAATTAATTAAACATATCAATTTCTCTTGGTTACACTGAATTAAATGTATGACATTGTGTAAAAAACCTGGGTTGAAACTAGATGATTTTCGTAAGTGAACTTTTCTTTTTAAAGGTGCAGTATGTTAGTTTGACACCCAGTGGGTGAACTAGGTATTGCATGCCCGATTCAAAACACACCTAATTGCCATATTAAAAACATCAACACAAGTGTGTGAAACTATCGAGCCTAAAGGCTGATTTATACCATATTCTAAATAAAAGCAACGGCGCACGATAGAAAAAATATTTTCCATATTAAAATGGATATTTTTTCATTTTACAACACCTAAAATGTATATTTTAAAAACAGCTTCTATTTCTTGCAGCTGAAAAACAGGATAAATGTTTAACTCTGGTGCACCTCATATGCTGTATTTATTCAGTGCTAAATGCTAACAATGTGAGTTTGAATGGCATTTTACATGACATTTATTGCCATACTACTGAAAGCAGCAGCAGATAGTTCACCTCAGATCTTAAAAATAAAATAAACCATTTTAAATTGAACTTAAGAGCTATGGCTCAGTGTAAACCAACACATATCAGTGATTCAGCATGTACATGTAATAATGTTAAAGAGGTTTAATATGTATTAATTAGATTATAAACCTTACCATTTCGTTGGAGTGCAGTGAGTGAACTATACTGTGCTATTCTGTTGTGTTTCGTCTGATGCAAACAGCCAAATTGCGAATCACTGCTCACCTAATGTTGATGTTCATAATATTTATATTATTTGCTAATTAATAAACCACCTCATGTGGAACTATGAATCTGCCTCTCATTTCAGAGGCTGGTACTGTCCACCGGAGTTCACATTTTGTTTATGGACGCATGCTTTGAGAGCCTTCATGACTGAATGAATGAAATACGCTGCTTTCCAACGAGGCAACCCAGACTGCTAAAATATAATTGGCTAAACTGGCATTGGGTGGGTTAAAAACAAAAACCAAAATAAAAAAACAAAAAACAAAACAAAAACAGACGTTTCGCCATATAACAGCAGAATATCTAACTTTATCATTGTTTTTTAGATAATTACTGATTACTATAATATTACTATAATATTTAATGTATTATATATATATATATATATATATATACTATAATAAAATTACTTTTTTTTTTCTTTTTAGTTTTAGTCATTTTAGTATTTCAACATAATTGTTTCAAATTTTTAACATTAGTAAGCTTGTGTTATGTAGCGGTTTTTAACATACCTTGGAATGTCACAACTGACCAATCAGAACTGAGTATTCCAGACAGCCGTGTATTAACTTTACTTAACAAACATAAAGAAATAGTGTAAAATATGTGGTTCATTCCTGGTTTATATCTTAAAATTAAACTGATGATTCTAAAAATAGCTTTTATTGAGCGAGCTGGAAAGATGCCTTGTATTTGTGGTAAATATTTGTCAGAGGCCAAACTAATGCAATGATCAAATGCATTGATTGAGAGTGAAGGAGAGAGATAGAGACAAACAGGCTGATGGAGCTGCTCACCTCTTTGCTATTCTCCTCCAGCACCTGATCGTACTCACTGAGGGAGGCTAAAAATATAAGCGATGTCACATTCTCAAAGCAATGGATCCATTTTCTCCTCTCCGACTTCTGGCCACCCACATCCACAATCCTTCAGAAAACAACACCCAAATGAAAAGAAGTGGTAAGATGGAAGATCAAATTCTCTTGTTTATACTCGCCAACGTCTGTCAAAACCAAAAACATTCAACGCTAACTGTAAACCACTATAATTTGTTCCTACTTCCTTTTAGTCAAACGTGTTTACCTCACAATTCCCACAAAGAATGTGGAAGCACAGTTATGTAGTTGAAATGTGATCCTAGTGGTTTTACACTATTTCAGTTATGTTTTTGTGTTTTTTTAAAGTGGTAGAACCCATGAAATTGTTTGGGGAAAAGTGTATTAAAAGGTAAAAGACTGAAAATCATTGATTCAAAATGCCCCATTACACAGTTGCGAAGTACATAAAGTATTTAAAGTAGTCAATTATGCTTTGAGTATGTTGCTATTGTTGTTTTGGAGGTGTCCTGTTTTAGATAAACATTCATGCAAGGTTAAACGGTTTATTTACCCATATTGTATACAGTACACTGCAGTAACAGATCTTTTCTAACAGTGTTTGAAATAGTTCATTCCATGATCCAGTCCCTCCAACCCCCTTCTACTCTGCTCTGATTGGTCAGCTGGCCCAGTGTGTTATGGTTTGGTCAGATGGATCTGCTGTGCTCTGATTGGTCAAATAGCGCAGTCTGCTGTAATTGGTAGGTGGGCCAGTCTAATATGATTAGCCAGATATCCATGCTCTGCTCTGATAGGTCAGATATCACCCTCTGTTGTGACTGGTCAGATGAATCTTTGTTGCTCTGATAGGTCAGATAGTGCAGTCTGTTGTGATTGCTCAGATGGGACAGTCTGATGGGATTGGTTAGATGGCCCTACTCTAATCTGATTGATCAGATAGCGGAGTCTGTTGTGATTGGCCAGATGGCCGTACTTTTCACTTCAAATCTTTTCAATCTCTTCTGTCTCAGTTTGTTGTCCATAAACAGCTGCATGAACTTTAATGCAATGTTTATTATGAAAAGTGTATTGATGAGGGTACCTGAGAGTGATCTTTTCCACACTGAAGGAGTAATCGTTGATGCCTGTGGTGGGAAAGCGCACTCGCAGGACATCCTGAGCTGTAGGGATGTAGTCTGGAGCCGCGATACGATCCAAATTCGTCATATAGCTAAAAAAAGAGAGAGAAGAAAATGTAACATACTTGAGTATATGCATTTCAGAACTGTGTGAGTGTGATAAAGTGCTGTGATGTTTGCCTTCTGCTTTATTGGTGTTTGTGCTTTGGACGGCAGTTTAATTAAACGTCCAGGTTTGTTTGTGTTTCTTATCATGGCCAGGTTTGTAGAAGTGAAAACACCATCGGGGAAGCAGGAGGAGAAAACCAGAAGGACATGCAGAACTGTGTTGGGGAGTGATTAGGTAACGATTAACAACAACCCTCTGATGAGCTTTACAGGAAATTTGCTCAACAATAAGCTTAATTTAACAGTCGTCAGGGGTGTTAGCAGCATTAGAAGAAAAATATACAATTTCTGCTTTGTAGTGTTTTGAGAGCTGAAAATAAGATGAAAATAAGACACAGCTGAAGACAAAAAACAGTGCCACATGTGTCATTGAAAGAGAATATAAAGAAAGCTGTTTTTATGTAGTGTTTAATGCAACTGAGTGGTTTACTGCAATACTGGCTTGTTTATCGATATAGCTGCATTGCCCTCCAATGGTGCCTTTTGGATCTGCACAAAACATTTCAGCTTTTTTACAACATTAACATCTCTATGTAATTTTATATTCATTTTATAGACTAAAGTTTTTTTTACTTACATTAAACAAAAAGTTAAATGATAAAAATATTGTAATACTATATTTATTATATATATAGTATATATAGTAATATTATATTTATTGTTTACCTAATTATCAATTTAATGTTTAAAATATAATATAATATATATAAAATAATATTGTTTATTTAAGTATATAACAAATTCTAATAAAATGTAGTAAGATAAACAAATATAAATGAATGGCAAAATATAATATCAGAAATGTATTTATATTTATATAAAATTTGTAAATGTAAAATTCTAATTAACAAAATAAAATAATGAAAATTAAATAAATTTTAAAAAATGGAAAAACTATTTATATTGCACAAAAAATTAACTAAGTTTAAAATTATTAGATTTAAGTTATATTTACTTAAAGATTTAATATATCAGTTAGTTTAGTAAGTTTGTTTATATAGCACATCTTTTACAACCCAACGTTGCTTAAAGTGCTGAACACAATCAATACTAATTAAAATAACGTCAAACAGCACATACATAACAACTAAACATAAGACAAAACCCTTAACATTAAAAAGGCTCAAATGCTAAAGAACAATCAGTAATTAATATCTTAAATACTAATAAATAATTAGTTCTTGTTCTTTTGCGTGTCGTTTGATCAATTTGGTTCATGCTGAAATCAATATTCCATGTCCAGGGGTTTACTATTTAGTATGTTTTAATGTAATAAACATGTTATTGTGTAGTCAAATGGAGATTGAGGCACTTACTATTCTGTGGAGTCCAGAAGCTGGTACTCTCTACGGCGACAGTAACAAGCCTTGATTCCTGGATCGGCCCAAAGCCGCCGAATGGCCTCCACATACATTCTGTCCAGCTGCGTCACCTGACGGATTTCCACGTCTTTAAACTGCCGTCCATATGCCTGAAGAAATGAATGGAAACATTTGAGGATATTGTGTAGATCTTTTTATTATTTTTGTGTAGCAGAATATATATAGTACAGAGTTCTATTTGTGGTACTATTTATGCAAATATTAATATATCTATATTTATGCAATTAATTTATTTTATTCTCTATATAAAGACATAATATACCGTTTATAATACTTAATAAATTATCATTTTAAATTATATGATATAAAAATATATATATTTGGTATAATTCAATTTAAACATATCATAATATTTATTTTATATTTATGGATTTTTATAGTTATATATACTATACTTTTATAGTTATATATAAGTGTTTATATAACTTTATATATGTATGTGTGTTTGTATATAATATATTTTTGAGTGTGTGTGTGTATATGTGTGTTTATACTATGATTATAGTTTTTTATTTCATATCATAAATAGACATGCACATGACAAAAATCACACACACACACACACACACAGTTGAAGTCAGAATTATTAGCCCCCATTTTAATAATATATATATATATATATATATATATATATATATATATATATATATATACATACATTTTTTTTCTAAATGATGTTTAACAGAGCAGGGAAATTTTCACAGTATGTCTGATAATATTTTTTTCTTCTAAAGAAAGTCTTGTTTGTTTTATTTTGGCTAGAAAAAAAGAAATTTTTGATTTTTAAAAACCATTTTAGGGACAAAATTATTAGCCCCTTTAAGCTATTTTTTTTGTCGATAGTCTACAGAACAAATCATTGTTATACAATAATTTGCCTAATTACCCTAACCTGCCCAGTTAACCTAATTAACCTAGTTAAATCTTTAAATGTCACTTTAAGCTGTATAGAAGTGTCTTGAAAAAGATCTAGTAAAATATTATTTACTGTCATCATGGCAAAGATAAAATAAATCAGTTATTAGAAATGAGTTATTAAAACTATTATGTTTAGAAATGTGTTGAAAAAATCTTCTGTCAAATAAACAGAAATTGGGGAAAAAATTAAACAAGGGGGCTAATTATTCAGGGGGGCTAATAATTCCGACTCCAACTGTATATATATGTATGTACTTACTTTTTGAACTTACATATATAGAATTTGATGTATATTTAATGCATATTATTATTTTTTTATTTATAAAGTTTTTGACAAACTACAATAATAAAACTATTTATTTTGAGAAAATTACTCCATAATCTTTCAGCATGCCTATAAACGTGCCATATAAAGCAAGTACCAACTGCTGTTAAAACTGTGCCCTCAGTGGATTTTAAAGGGACTTTGTGCACTTCGTCTCAATTTTAAAACTGTGATGCTTTAAAAAAAAGTATCATTCCTTTCTTCACTCACTTACCTCATTCTGTGGGTTTGCGTAGGGAATCCTCAAGCTTTCCATCGCCCCTGTCATTGCCCTCATCGCTGTGAAAATATTCTGATAAACATTTTTAATGTATCCACGTCTGTCTTCTTCCGAAAATCCCTTTCCATGAATGATCCTCATCTGCTTGATAAAAGTGGTCTTCCCGCTTTCTCCAGTGCCTGAAATTAAAAGTCAATAAATCATTAATTTTTCTTCAGCTTAGTCTGATTTATCAGAGGTCGCCACAGCGGAGTCAAACACCAACCATTCTAGCATATGTTTAAAGCAGAGGAAGCCCTTCCAGACGCAACCCAGTACTGGGAAACACTCATACACTCTACATTCACACGCACACTCATACACTACGGCCAGTTTAGTTCATTCAATTTATCTATAGCGAATGTCTTTGGACTGTGGGGGAAACCTCTCCACCAGGAAGAAACCCACACGAACACGGGGGGAACATGCACACAGAAATGTCAACTGGCCCAGCCGAGACTCGAACCAAAGACCTTCTTGTTGTGAGGCGACAGTGCTAACCACTGAGCCACTGTGCCACCATCAATAAATCAAATACATGTAAATAATTAATATCATATCATGTATACAGAAGCACTAGTTCTTCAACCGGGTCATGAATGACAAAAATGGAGAAGAGTAAGGAATGCAAGCTGCAGGTGGTGGCCTGCAAGACTGTTCTCATGTACACAGGAATGTAATCTGTCCTGTTAACAAAGAAATCACGAAAGCGAGACGCTTTGCAGAGTCAGAAAGTATGCGGTCAGACATGTTTAAACTGAGATTAACATCATTTTCTCCACCAGTCTCTGCTCCAAAATCTATTGTCTTCGTTTAATTGATTTGAGCGAGTATTAGCTAGTTATCGCTGACTCACAGCTGCTGCTCTCAAACCACAAATATTTGACAGGCAAACAATCGCACATCATATCAGTGTGAGCGTTGACAACACAATTCGAATTCTTCTGCATTGCGAAATGCACCTTTGCGCCCACTCCATTACAAAAAAAAAAAAATGTCAAGCATGCTCTGATCTTGATTTTTTTTCAAGAACGTGTCCTTTGTGATCTCACGTGACACATTTAAAAGTTGTCGAAGAGATTAGTCGTACTAACTTGTCAACTATCTTCGTGTAGGTGGACAGAATTTTTTTCTTTGTTTATTTATTTCACAACAAAGGACAGTGTACATTAATCAACATTCCACAAGCAGCATGTGTGGTTCTTGTCGGAAAATATGTCGAAAAGTCGTACATGACGGTAATAGTTTGATTGCGGTGTTTACTTCAATAATGCCACTAATACATGCATACTCCACATGTCTAAATTCCATTTTTGTTTGGTTCAGTTAAGACTTTAGTCGCATTAAGGTAATCAAAAATCGCTGTTTCGAACTTATGTAGGCCTACATTTCAAAATGTATGTTTAACTGAATAAACAGTTAGTAAACACAGTGCATCTTATTGAACATCATTTATTTCCATCACCAATTATCATAGTAGAACAGTTTTTCAAGCAGTTTGTGATGCATTTTGGAAACAGGAGATGAACCCCTCGTCTAATGTGCTCCCTGACTTGAAAAACCCGCTCTCAAAAACGTACTTTTAGTGATTATTTGGGTAGCACACATATTCTGAATGCCTTCGACAGAATTCAAATAAGCCATTTTAATCTAGATTAATTCCAAAATTATAGTTAGATTCATGTAGATTTTAAAAATTAATACATGCCCACCTTTAAAAAATACACATTCAAATTATAAACAAACAATACAATGGCAAGGGGATGTGACATGTCAAGCAGTGATTTTCTTTACAGCACATTTAAAAGCTACTTTTAATTTTCACAAGAGTGTGCTGTCACTGTGATGTTCATTTTCCTCAACAAAAAGCAGTCAAAAATATGACTTCATGATTTCATTTATTTTATTTTACTTTTGTTTAGAACAAAAAAATCATTTAATACTTTAAAATATATCATGATTGATGTTTTTGTCTGATCAAACAATGACTCTTGTACACTTTTACTATGATTTAAAGTAAAATATCATTAAAATAACAAGTTCCGAAATCTCATCATGCATATTTAGAATGAGAATCACCTGATAGCAAATTTAATTATTTTGAGGATCACAGTGCAGTACCAAAATACTGATACAGTGTGTAATATTTTACTTTTTCAAATATTCAAACCACTAAATTTTACCCATTTGACTAAGCCTTTGTCTTTTAAAGTATGTTGAAGTTCAGTATTATGATGTTTCCTGAAATATTTTCAGTAAATAACAGTAGGATCAAATATGCAGTTTCATGTTTACAATAATATGACATGGGAATTGTCCTCTTTTGTGTGATTATTTTTTTTTTTTATAAAAGAAAACATGAAACATGTCAGCAGACACCTACAGTACATTTAACATGCTTTATCAGTTTATAAAATGTCTGTTGAAGAATGTATTAAATTTGTGTTTGTGATTTGTCAACTTATTCAAAATGTCACTGCCAATCAAAGCCTGCATAAACAAGTATTTTCAATAATAATTGTTTACTCTCTTACTCTTAACATTTAAGATGACTAGGAGATCCACTTAAGGCTATTATAATTTAATAATTTTTAAATATACGAACTCATGAATAGCTGAAGAATCTCACCCAATAAAAGCACTTTGATTTCCCTTCTCTCCCGCTTCTTCTGCTCTGCAAGGATTCTTTTGATTTCATTGTGAATGACGATGGCGTTTTTATCCTCTTCAGACAAGCAACAGATGCACGTCGTGTAGCACCATCTCCAGCAGCCCATCTCCCCTAAAAGAGAGAAAAGGAACATTTAAACTTGATAGAAACATCTGACATGTACTGTAATGTTCGGTTTAGAAAACTAAGCACTTAATAAGTACATAATAACTATTAACAACTACAAAATAATAACCAAAACGTGTAATTTAAAACGCGTAGCGAAGTTGTTTTGAATTGAAACTGTTTCGATGAACCGATCGAACCGGTTCACAATCCGCTCTCGAGTTCAACTCGTGTTCTTCAGTGAAGACTTGTAGCTATATAAGTTAGTATATTTGTAGGAAATTGCACGGATTTACAAATATGCTTTGTTTTAAGGATAGCTTTATGTTGCAACGATGTCAACTGTGAAAGTTTGTAATATGCCATCCATAGACAGGTGCGTTGTGACAAAAGATTCACAGAATCGTACGTTGTTCAAAAGAACCGATTCGCAAAAATGAGCCGAACTTTTATTATCAGTATACTTCCAAATTGTATGAAATTCCATTTGAAAGTATGTATACCTGTGAATTACACGCATGTCTACAATAAGATATTATCTGTGTAAAAAGCAAAAGAGTTTAATTTTGATATTGATGTAAAAGCTCTATTGACACATTTCCCAATCTCGGACTTCCCCTAAGAAGAAAAGAGGAAACCTAATACTTGTTCCAGGTGCGCGATTTATTTTTGCTACAATCATTAAAAATGAGAAAAGTCAAATAGAGAAGCGCGAATCTCTCACCTGCATTCGTCGACACACCTGTACAGTCAGTAATGCCTTTACGAAACACAATCCATTATTCCCTAAATCGAACTGGGTTTGGACCAACGTAATCCTGTTGAAGTTTTCTCAAAAGTTTCCCCTTGTACATCCAAACTCTTCTGTAAACGTTACTTCATTTACCCTTTGGCTTCAGTCAGCTCTACCTACAATCCAGGAAAGTTCTCCTTCAGCGCAGACTGTCCGTCAGCAGATTATGGGCTGTCTCAACACCTGGTCACCTGCCTACTAAAGACAGCGGTTTGGGGAATCAGGATGCGCGCGCACCGCACGCGCTCTCTTGTCTGAATGTTGCTGACAGATTATATAAGCGCGCGGGGGTCTCGAGGCGTGTTTCTGAAAGTTTTTAGTTTGACTAAATGCGACGCATGCGTATTTAAAGCAAAACTAGTATCGAGATGTTGCCCCATCTGAATGCCTCCCTAGGCGTGTACCAGTCAGCATTTTCATGTATCACTATCATCTCCTAGGCAGAGAGCTTGCTGTGTTTTGAGACAGGCATTAGATTAACAGCAGAGTAAGCGCTGAAGTTATGTAAACATTAAAGCTGAATATAATAAATAAACTAATAGGCAGTACTTGGTAAAAACATTATTTCTCTGGCTTTACGTAAATAAGCAATGGGTTTACAAAAAATTAAAGCATTTGTAGTATATAAAATATATAATTTCTGTCTGAAGGCAGAAAACTACAAAACTTGATTCACAAGTCACAAGGGGTGTAAAGTTCTTCAATGGCCGTGCAGGTATTTGACACTCCTCTCTCTTGGGCTCTACTGAAAGTCTTTCTTTTGTCTCTACAGGCAGAACCGGTTTATCAAGCCTTTCACGGTCTTGTGAGATATTGAGATTGCCTATAGTCCACATATTGCCATAGAAACCAGGTAAGTCAAAGTCTTGGAGAAAACAGTGATTTGGGAGTGTATATATATAAGACACTAACCCAATTGCCAAATACTGTTCTAGTTTAGTTATCCCAGACTGTTCCAGTTTCCAGCAAAAAAATAAAAATAAGTAAATAAATAAATTATATATATATATATATATATATATATATATATATATATATATATATATATATATATATATATATATATATATATATATATATATATATGTATGTAGTCCATACTTAATTTGTGTGTACAGATTTTTGGATCTTAAGTTATTTATATGTGTCTGACATAAGTTTTATCACCTATCTAAGTTGACAGCAAATTATAACTTGACTTCTAGTTGATCATTTGGTGTCACAAGTGGCTCATATGAATGGCAAAGGCCTCTAGATTATGCTTATTTTACCAAAATGAAATATGATCATGCCTTAACTTTAATTGTTTAATAAGGACGGTAAAAACTGACTTTGCTTAGACAAAAGTCTTGTCACTTACCTGAAATAATGTATAGAGTATAAAGTCATGGTGCAGTGGAAAAAGTATTAATATTGTGACTCCCTTGAGCTTGGACGACTGCATCCATACATCTCTGCAATGACTCAAATAACTCAAATAATGTAATCTGGAATGGCAAAGAAAAGTGTTCTTGCAGGACTCCCAGAGTTCATCAAGAATCTTTGGATTCATGTTCAATGCCTCCTCCTTCATCTTACCTCAGAAATGCTCAATAATGTTCATATCTGGTGACTGGGCTGGCCAATCCTGATGCACCTTGACCTTCTTTGCTTTCAGGAACTTTGATGTGGAGGCTTAAGTATGAGAAGGAGAGCTGTCCTGCTCAAGACTTTGCCCTCTCCTGTGGTTTTTAATGTAATGGGCAGCACAAATACCTCAGGCTGTTGATGTTGCCATCCACTCTGCAGATCTCTCGCACTCCCCCATACTGAATATAACCCCAAACCATGATTTTTCATTCACCAAACTTGACTGATTTCTCTGAGAATCTTGGGTCTATGCGAGTTCCAATAAGTCCTCTGCAGTATTTGTGATGATTGGGATGCTGTTCAACAGATGATTGATCAGAAAATTCTACCTTCTGCCACTTTTCCAAATGATCATCTAAAAGTTATTATTTGTTGCTCTTACAACTAGGATCGACAACAAGACAGGTAGTGTCAGGTAGAGTATATATGTCCTGTCTGCCATTGTCGTTTAGAATCTCAAGAATTATGGTATAATATGATTGATATTCACAGACATATATATATATATATATATATATATATATATATATATATATATATATATATATATAACCATACTAATCAGCATTTTCATCAAGAAATGATGCTAAAGATTTCAGGCCCCCAAAATGATATTATCATGTAAATGAACAGGCAAAACCTGTAGAAGCTTTTAGTCATGCAAATATACTGTTTAAATGAAGCATTCCATTTGTTTATGTATACATTTAAGCATCTACTGTATAATGACTTTCATGTTTGGAGAGTAAATCATAGGCCGATATACTAAGGAAATGTGACTTGCTTTTTTCGTTGTGTATGATGTTAAAGACTTAGAAAAAAAGAACAGCTCCACCTTCAGACCTACTTTCAGCTTTGTTTGGTTCACAGCTGGTTTGGGTGGAAAAGGTGACCTGGAAAGTACTTGAATGATGAGGGCTTTTGCATTCAGGCAAGTACAATTAAAACAAACAGCGTGTATTAGGCTGCTGGGTGTCCTGCTAATGTCAATATGTTAATACTTTCAGTTTCATTATAATATAATATAATATAATATAATATAATATAATATAATATAATATAATATAATATAATAGTAATAATTTCATTACAAGGATGAGGAGGATATGTTTTTTAAACCTAGGTTTTTATGTGTGAATATTATTTGCATCATCTGTTGTGACGGCTGCAGTGCAATAGAATATCTGTTCCCTTCAAATGCAAAATTTATTGTTTTTCGGCACACACAATCTACCTGCAATGCAATAAATATGTAGATTCAGACCTTCAAGAATGATTTAGCTTTGATACTAAAACGATTCCAATGTTTTGGATTTTTTGAACTGCCATAAACGATATCAAATTGAAGCATGTGCTTCTATTTACCAAAATATGTACTTTTCCCCCTTCTTTTGTTCAATGACCTATTGTCGGTTGGAAAATGCATGTATCCTCTGTTTCTTGTGTTATAGGTTTAAGTGGTCATGGGATGCTGTGGCTTTTTGGTTACAACAAGACACTGTGTTCTTGTATTATTGGCCTGTAAAGCAGCTAGATTATGTGTATGCTTAGTGTTCCTGGAAATCCTTGACATTGTATTTAATTTAATATTTTTGACTGGTCCAGTGTTAACTGCTGCTATAATCTGTTTTAACACAGCACTGTGACTTTCTTGTCTGCATGTTTACATATTGCTGAAAAACTGTTATATGCCAGTAGATGGTGACAGTTGACTGCATTTTTAATTTATTTACTCGGCTGATTCTATAAAAACCATTATACTAGCTTAAGCAATTCACTAGCACTGAACTAAATGAGTAGATGAAAACAGGTGAGCAAATTTGGACCTTGAGTGATACATAATTTTTGAAGAAATGCCATATTCTGGCAAGATGAGCATGTAGAGAATACTATAATTGGACAACAATAAATAACTTGACTTCTAGTTGATCATTTGGTATCAATGTGCTAATATAAAAGGTAAAGACCTCTAGATTACGCTTATTTTACCCAAATAAAATATGATCATGCCTAGATTTTTAACTATTTAATTAAGAAAGTAAGGTCTGACATTGCTTAGTTCAAAGTCTTGTCACTAACAGGAATAATGTATAGAGTATAAAGTCATGGTGCAGTGTAAAAAGAATTAATATTGTTTATGACTCCTATGGGCTTGGACGACTGCATCTATACATCTCATACATCTGGAATGGCAAAGAAAGCGTTCTTGCAGGACTCCCAGAGTTCATCAAGATTCTTTGGATTCATGTTCAATGCCTCCTCCATCTTACCCCAGACATGCATGTCTGATGGCTTGGCTGGCCTGGAGCACCTTGACCTTCTTTGCTTTCAGGAACTTTAATGTGGAGGCTGAAGTATGATGAGAAGCGATATCCTGCTGAAGAATTTGCCCTCTCCTGTTGTTTGTAGTCTAATGTGCAGCACGAATGTCTTGATACGTCAGGCTGTTGATGTTGCCAACCACTCTGCAGATCTTTTGCACTCCCCTACTGAATGTAACCCTAAACCATGGTTTTTCCTTCACCAACTTGACTGATTTCTATACAAATCTTGAGTCCATGCGGGTTCTATTTTTTGCTCTTACAACTGGGATCAATCAGGTAGTGTATGTGCACATCAGAAGTCCGATTTCCCTTTTTGGAATGAGAAAACTGATTACTGCCATATTCTGGTTTATTCATATATTCTGGTTTAAAGATTCTGCCTCTGAATAAGCATACTTTCTTACTATTTAGTAAACTAAAAGCAGACTGTGGGGATTATTATGTTTAGAATTACTGTATTTATAAAACATTTTATGCAAAGTACCCAGAATGACCTGCTACTTCTGAAGTGTGTTTCCAATTGACACTTTATTATCCCATGATGTCACGAGACATGAGTGAAATGACTCAACTAATGCTGGACAAGATGGTAAATGTAGAATTGGACACATTTTCCATCTTTGAGTTTGGGAAAAAATTGGCTGTTTTAGTTTTTGTTTTGAGTTTTACTATATACAGTAAAAATGGCTCATTATTCATTCATCCATTTTCTTTTTGGTTTAGTCCCTTTATTAATCTGGGGTCGCCATAGTGGAATGAACCGCCAACTTATCCAGCATATATTTCTCACAGCAGATGCCCTTCCAGCTGCAACCCATCAATGGGAAACATCCATACACACTCATTCACACACATACCACCATGGACAATTTAGCCTACCCAATACACCTATACCATGTCTTTGGACTTGTGGGGGAAACCCGGAGGAAACCCAGGAAGAACATGCAAACTCCATACAAAAATGCCAACTGACCTAGCTGGGGCTCGAGCCAGCGACCATCTTGCTGTGAGGCGATTGTGCTACCTCAGAAGCTACTTCTGAAGTGTGTTTCTGATCGACACTTTATTATCCTATGATGTCATGACTCATGAGACATGAGTGAAATGACTTAACTAATGCTGGTAGTTCATGTGACGAGGACAAGATGGTAAATGTAGAATTTCAGAAATGGATCATGTAACTCTCTGGAACCAAGTCTGCCATGTCTCTTGGAAGTATATTTGGAAGCCAAAGGAAGCATACTGTTAACCCTCCCATTTTGCACAGATTTTCCTGTGTTTTACCAGTCTATCTCGCTATCATCCCTTTTAAGTATTTATCTATATTTTTTCCGGTATTTTTAATCTTTCTATGAAAACTGAAAGCAGCATCAAAAGAGCCGATCTCAAATGTGAAATAATTGTAAAAGCTGTTCAAAAGAGAAATGCTTTCGCTTTATTTCACATTTAATTTAACTCGAGAATTTAGTTCTTAAAAGCATATTGAAATTGATATTAAAACAGCTGCGTTCACTTCATTTCCATTAAAGCTATCCATTGAATGTTGCCCTACTTATGCAATCTATAACTCGGTCCAGTCATGTATCGATACTGACTGAATGAAGCCCTTCTTAGTAATAAAGACACTGTTTACAGATCAGCTTCTGTTCACGAGATTTGAAGAAGCATTGTTTGAAAGTAAATGAATGATTTCATTATAAATCGGTGGATTCTTAGAGTGACACTGCTGTTATCAAACAAAACAGTGGATCAAAATGAGAGATTCGCTGCTCTTCACTAAACAACTATAGTAACTTAAACTTTTACATCCTAATGTTGAAAGGTATGCTTGGAAACGTGAAAACATAGCAACTTTTGGACAGCACGTTTACATTTATCAACTAACATTACATGCCTGTGTGACTATGCCAGGGGTGCTTAAACTGAAAGGTTTATGACATCATCAACCCGGTTGTATTTCGCTGTAGTATGCTCTGCTATGCTAACTATGTAAAAGGCAATTTCTCAGTTTCCATTGAACGTTGAATGTTGTAACTTTACAGATCTTGTTTATGCACACACAGCTACATTTCACACTAGGTAAAGTTTGAAATGTAAGATCGTAGTGGACCACCTCTATACATGTTGAGGCATATCTACTCATCCAAAAAGAAAAGACACTAAGCTAAGATATACAGTTATGGACTAAAACCTTTGTTTGGTACATTACATAGATTTATTTGAAGCACAGATTCTGTTTTTTTTTTCCATCAGTATTCTTTCATTCATTCATTTCCTTTGGCTTGGTCCCTTTATTCATCAGGGGTTGCCAAAGTGGTATGAACCGCAAATTTATCCAGCATATGTTTTATGCAGTGGATGGCTGCCCTTCTAGCCACAACCCAGTACTGGGAAACACTTTTGAACTTACACTCATACACTACAGCCAATTTAGTTTTTATTCAATTCACCTGTAGCACATGTCTTTGGACTGTGGGAGAAACTGGAGCACCAGGAGGAAACCCATACGACCATGGGGAGAACATGCAAACTCCACACAGAAATGTCAAACTGGTCCAGTCGTCACTCAAACCAACAACCTTCTTGATGTGAGGTGACAGTGCTAACCACTGAGCAACCATGCCACCTTGCCATCAGTATTACTTTTTAAAACAAAAAATGGTTTGATAAACACTATATGCTTAGAAGGTGACATATTGATCGTTAGTGCAAACATATTTTGGACACATTTTCCCTCTTTGAGTTTGGGAGAAGTTCACTGTTTTAGTTTTATTTTGAATTGTACTATTAAAAAAAAAAAGGCTTATTATTCATTCATCCATTTTCTTTTTGGCTTCGTCCCTTTATTAAGCTGGGGTCGCCACAGCGGAATGTTTAACACAGCAGATGCCCTTCCAGCTGCAACCCATCAATGGGAAACATCCATACACACTCATTCACAGATGCATCACTGTGGACAATATAGCCTACCCAATACACCTATACCATGTCTTTGGACTAGTGGGGGAAACCTGGAGGAAACCCACGCGAACACAGGAAGAACATGCATACTCCATACAAAAATGCCAACGGACCCAGCTGGAGCTCGAACCAGCAACCTTCTTGCTGTGAGGCGATTGTGCTACCTCAAAGCCTCAGGACAAACTGAGGAATCCAGAATTGTTCAGTGAAGTTCATTACAAATCTCCCTTTTTATACAATAAACTAAGTTTAGCTTATAAATATAGATCATTTATCAATTAACCCAGCATTTTGGTCAAGTCAATAAAAAGTGTTTTTCAGTGCACAGTGACGTTAAAATCAATGCAGTGTAATTCCAAAAACATAATTGTGCCTATTTACGCCATCTCAAAGTCCTGTAAGGCGTTGAGGAGGAGAATGTCTTTCACGTCAGAGAAGACGCTCCGGATGTTATTTGTGTCCGTGGCGCAGGTGTAGTGAAAGTAGACGTTTTTGGAACTCTTTGTCTCAGAGGAATACGCGTTGTGGGTATATAATTCTTTGATGAACTGAATGGCATCCTGACCGTTCCGAGGTTTTCCTAGGGGTGGCGCCAAAACCGTAGAAAAAAGCAAGAAAGAGTGAATCAGGAACAGAAAACGTAATCATTTTGTATTTCACTTCGTTTAATGTGTGCACCAAACTACCTTTAAATTCCGGAAAGTAGGATTTCAGATTTGAAAACTGAATCTTCTCTTCTAGGATGTCTATTTTGTTCAAGAAAAGGATGACGGAGGAATAAGCAAACCACTTTGAGTGGATGGTTGTGTAGAACAGAGATAAACTCTCCAGCATGCGGTTCTGGAAAGAAAGAGAAGAGCAAACGAAAAAAAAAACTGTTTATCAATATTATACATAAAGGGCAGGAGAAATACACTATGATAGGAAAGATACAGAAACTTACGTCTTTGTTATTCTCCTCCAGACGCTGGTCGTATTCACTAAGGGAGGCCACAAATATGAGTGACGTCACATTCTCAAAGCAATGGATCCACTTTTTTCTCTGTCCTCGCTGACCACCGACATCTACAATCCTGAAAAGAGTTGAGTTTTTATCCGCTTCTCTATTTGGTCTATGGTGGTTAGTTGTGCCATTGATCTGGATTACTGACACAAACTCACAGACGGATGCCAATGTAAATGCATGTGTTTTTTTATCGCAGTGTTTTATTTGTCTTATAAATATGTATGCTATCTTAGACCTCAAGTTCTTTTTCTCTACTTTTAAAGGGGCAGTTCACACTAAAATTAAAATGACTACTGACATCCAAAATACTATGGATGTCAGTAGCTATGTTTCCATCCACCTATTTTTTATGCGCATAAGAATTGGGTGATGGAAACGGCAAGATGTGCATAAGTTTTGAAAATGAGCATAAGAAACGTATGCGCATAACTGAGGATAAATTTTTATTCAATAAGAGAAGATGCACGTAAATTACAATGGAAACACTTTTGCCGAACAAACTCCAGTATGTGCATAAAATATGTAATTTTGTTATGAGATCAAATGATGATATAAATGGCCAGACTGGCAGGCTGTCTTCTGATGCGCAAGTCATTTATTAAATAAAAAAAAGATTCAGGCAACTTCTTCTACCACAAGAAATTCTGTTTTTACTTTTGATATTTGGCGCCAGTTAATCAGGAAGTTACTATTTTGTTCCTTTTGACTCATTGGGTGGAAACGCTGCTTTATTTGCCTGTCTTTCATGCAATACCAGCTATGCGCATACATTTAATTCACATCTTTGGATGGAAAATAGCTAGTAACTTTTTTTTTTTTTTTCAAAATTCTTCTCTATCTTTTAGGGGTGTCAAACTTACTTTCTGGAGGACCGCAGCCCTGCACAGTTTAGTTGCACACTTGCAGTACCTGTATATTTCAAACGAGCCCATGTTTAATTAGGGTTGGAACAAAACTAGAGAGCTGCTGCCTTCCAGGAACTGAGTTTGGAACCTGCTCTTTCGAAGTTTACTAAAAGAAACACAAACAGGTTTGGAACTTGTAATTTTCCAGGTAAACTAGCCCTTTAATTAAATTCTATTCATCATTTTTAACTGCTTTTTGTTTCTCTCAGAGAAAACGTTTGGAAGTTTTTTGCTTATAATATTAAAATTTAACATTTCTCCTTCTGCTTGTATCTTTGTCTGTGTTCAAACTAATTGATTTCTTTTTTGTACAAAAAAAAAAAATTATACATTTCATTTATACATTCTAGTTTGAGGCGACACAGTGGCGAAGCAGGTAGTGCTGTCACGTCACAGCAAGAATGTTGTTGCAATGATCACATCTTTTCAAAGTCCTTCCTGTGATTTGTAATGACCCAAGATAACGTCATGAATAAAAGTGAAGTGAAGCATCTGATGCTGGTAGGTCATGTTATAACAACAGAGAGCAAATGTAGTATGTCTGGATTCCATTCACACTAGTCATATTTCATACTCTAGACTCAAAAATGTGAGGTTTTCATACAACATTAGCACAAAGATGAGCAAATCTAGTGTTGGGTTAATTATTTTCAGTTCAATTTAAAGGACATTTTTTAACCCAATAGTTCCATATTTTACTTTTTTCAGTCTAGAGTAAAGATTTCACTTTTCTGACTGTCATGAAGATCTTTGTCAGGTCTTTTCTTTGCATTGGCTGAAGGTTTGGATTTTTTTATTCTTGTTTCCTGGTTGGCTGGATTATGTTTTTTTTTTTTTTTTTGACTGCAAATTGATCCTCTCTTCTCCTGTTCCCTGCCATTGTGTGACAAACAGACTTTGGACCTTTAGACCAATAATGTAGATTAAAGGGTAATGTTGTCTGACTGCATTGAATAGCAAGACCTCTGTGTTTTATCAGGTGCTAAATGTATTTGATTTGTATTGCCTGTAAGTGTTTTTTCAGAAAAAATTGGACAGTATGGAAAATGCAAAAAAAAAAAGAAAAAAAAAGAATGAAGTGATTTCTAAATTAACACATTTTTTAAAAAGTTGCACCAATTTACCACTTTGTTATGTTGCTATTCCTTTTCACAACACTTTAAAAGATGTTTAAGGACTGAAGACACCAAATGATGAAGAGTTGCAGGTGCAATTTTGTCCCATTCTTTCTGCAAACAAGTCTTAAGGTGGGCAACAGTATGGGGTCTTCATTGTCGCATTTTGTGCTTCAAAATGCACCACACATTCTCTATTGGATAACAGATCGGGACTGTAAACAGGTCAGTCAAGTACCTGTATCCTCTTCCTCTGCAGCCAGGACTTTGTAATGTGTGCAGAATGTGGTTTTGCATTGTCTTGTTGACATGTCCATGGGCATCCCTGGAAATGAAGGCAGCCTACTGTGCTTCAACATTTCTATGTACTTTTCAGCATTAATGGTGCTATCACAGAAGTGAAGGTTACCACTGACCCAACCCAACACCATGACAGAACCTGGCTTTTGTACTTGATGCTGGTAATAGTCTGATCCTTTTTTTCTTTGGTCTGGAGCAACAGCATCCATTTCTCCATACCTGACCCAAAAAACTTCTGACAATAATACTAGTATCCACTGTTTGATGGTCCATCCCAGACACCTCCGAGCCCAGAAAAGTTAATGGCACTTCTGGACACTGTTAACATAGGGCTTCCTTTTGGCACAGTGCAGTTTTAACTGGCATTTGTGGATGTAACCTTGTATTCTGGTACTTGACAAAGGTTTGCCAAAGTAGTCCTGAGCCCATGTAGTACTTATAGATGAATGACGATTCTTGGTGCAGTGCTGCCTGAGGGATCGTAGATCACGTTTGTTAGCGAAGGCTTGTGCCCTTGTCCTTTATGCACTGAAACTCCTCTAGATTCCTTGAATCTTGTAATTATGTTATGCACTGTTGAAAGTGAAAAATTCAAATGTCTTCCTATCTTTCTTTGGGGAACATTATTTTTAAACATTTTAATCGTTTTCTCAGTTATTTGTTGGCAAACTGGCGATCTTCGGCCCATCTTTGCTTCTGAAGGACTAGACCTTTCTTGGATGCCGCTTTTGTACCAAATCATAATTACAATCACCTGTTGACATCACCTGTTTCAAATCACATTATTATTTATCCAATTTACCAGTTACTAGCCCTCTAGTTCACATCCTAACGTTTTTTTGCAAGAACAAAAATTGTAATTGTAATGTTTGTTTAAAAAAAACAATAAAAATCACGAGGAACACATTAAATAGTGTTTATTGTATTGTCTGCAATGTAATACTATTCAAAGTAAATTTAGAAAATCACTATCTTTTTTAATTGTGTTTTCCATACTGTCCCAACTTTGTCCAATTTGGGGTTGTATATGAATTAAGACCTAAATATTTTACTTTAATGTACCACAGAAAAAATAATTGTTTCTTTCTGCCAGCATGATTTACGTTATTATTGGCTTTAGTTGTTCATCCCCTTACCTGAGAATCATCTTCTTGAAATTGAAGCTATGATCTGTGATGCCACTAGTGGGGAATCGGACCTGAAGAATATCTTGATTTGTAGGGATATAGATATCAGCTGCTATGCGGTCCAAGTTACTAAGAAAGCTTTAAAAAAACATATATTGGTATAAAATTGCATATGAAGGCCTTACTTTCATAATATTCATTGTGAAGCGATGTTACAGCATCAGGAAAGTAGACAAAGGTTCAGGGGCTGACAGGAACTGTTAAACACACTTACTATTTAGTTGAGTCCAGTAGCTGATACTCTCTGCGCCGACTGTAGCAACTCTTAATACCTTTGTCTGCCCATAGATGACGAATCGCCTCTACGTAACTTCTCTGCAACTTTGTTATCTTATGTGGGTCTTGATCCTGGAACCATGTTGCATAAACCTGATAATACAGACTTAATGAGACTGACAATACAGTACAGAAACTAGATATCTTTCATCTTTTTCACTTATTAAATCACCTCGCTCTGTGGATTGGCGTAAGGAATCTTTAGCTCACTCATGGCTTCTGTCATTGCTTGCATAGACTTGAAGATGTTCTGGTACACCAGTTTGGTGAAAACATGCCTCTCGTCATCTGAGAAGCCCTGTCCATGAATGATTCTCATCTGCTTCAGAAAGGTTGTCTTTCCACTTTCTCCAGAACCTAAATGAAAGCAAAAAAGTCATTTAACAATGCTTTAACTAAAAGTTCTTGTTGATTCAAAATAAAAAATTTAATGGCAACCTGCAATTTGAGAGTCGTAAAAACATCCAGGCAATACGAAGTCATACCTGTGGGTAATGATTTCCTGAGTTTCCACCGTCACTCTGTGTTAATGTTCATTTTAAAGTTTTGCATGAGAAAGTAGTGAAAAAAATGCCAAATTTAGAGTTGAGGTGGTTTACGACTGAGAAAAGAGGTTTACATTCCACTTTTTATAAAAATTACTTTTATTTTACAAGTCATCTAGAGATAAACAGTTGAGTTTTACCATTTTTTAAAATTTATTTAGCCAATCTTTTTGTCTCAAAGGAGCACTTATAGCTTAGCTTAGCATAAATTATTGAATCAGATTAGACCATTAGCATCAAAAACGTTTTCATTTAAATTTTTTTATTTAAACGTTGACTCTTCTGTAATTACATTGTGTACAAAAGGCAATATAAAATAAAAATGTGCTATGTTCTAAGCCTATATGGCTAGGCATTGTACTCTCATTCCAGCCTGGAAAATAGCAACTTTTAATTTCCCATCAGTCTTATGGACATGATGTACTGTAACTACTGAAGACTAAAACTTCACAAAATAAATTGGACTTTTACTGTTACTAAGTTACAATACTACAGTCGACTCAAACAAGATGGAAAAGCACCTATTTCACATTCCTGAATTAAAAAAAGAATGACAATAACATTCAGTTTCTTGTATAGACAGATTGTTTCACTACAAACGTGGTCAATATATCTTTAGTTTGTATACATGGATACTTACCTGAATGTTAATCATTTATTTCTTGACTTTTACATTAGAGTCTGGTAACACTACTGGTCAAAAGTTTGGGATAAGTTTTTTTTTTAATTATTAATTTTATTTAAAAATTTAAATAAGGCGGCATTTATTAAATGTAAAAAATGTTATATAGTCAAATAGTTATTTTTAAAAATATTTATTAATTATCTATTGGATGTGAAATGATTGAAATGATTACTCCAGTCTTTATTCCTATTATTACTATTAAAATTAATAACATTAATATTGATAATAATAATTAATATTAGAGTGATTTCTGAAGGATCATGTGACTAAAGACTGCAGTATAAAGCTGACTATTCATCGTTAAAAGCACTGGAATAAATTATAAAATTAAATTATAACCTACTTTTGAACAGTTATGGCAAGGCAGTGGCGCAGTAGGTAGTGCTGTCGCCTCACAGCAAGAAGGTCGCTGGGTCGCTTGTTTGAACCCCGTTTCTGTGTGGAGTTTGCATGTTCTCCCTGCCTTCGTGTGGGTTTGCTCCAATTTCCCCCACAGTCCAAAGACATGTGGTACAGGTGAATTGGGTAGGCTTAATTGTCAGTAGTGTATGAATGTGTGTGTGGATGTTTCCCAGAGATGGGTTGTGGCTGGAAGGGCATCCGCTGTGTAAAAACTTGCTGGATAAGTTGGCGGTTCATTCCGCTGTGGCAACCCTTGGTTAAGGGACTAAGCCGACAAGAAAATGTATGAATGATGTGTATATATATATATATATATATATGTATATATATATATATATATATATATATATATATATATATATATATATATATATATATATATATATATATATATATATTTTTTTTTTTTTTTTTTTTGATGAACCTTGGTGAGCAGGATAAGCTTATTTTAAAACATAGTAGTAAAATGGTAGTGTATATAACATATAAAAAAACATATATCCACAATTATTAGTTATTATGTTGGCTTGAGAAAGCCAACACACTGTTATACTACTCTGTCCTTGAAAACAAACTTATCTCCTCCTAGGCTGTTTATGCCACAAGGCCCAAATGTGGTCAAAATGTGCTTTCTGCATTTACGATTGTTGCTATATCTCCTCATGCCTGTAAGACTTATAATTTTTTAAATAAAAAATGTTAAATATTAAATTTTTATAATCCGGACATATAAAAAAATTATACAAGCCCCAAATTTGGCCAAAAGCTGTATTTAGATGCGTTAGATTTTGTTGCTATATCTTAAAGGTTAATCAGACTTATAGTTTTCCAATAAATAATTTTTAAGCATTATTTTTCTCAAAATATGGCTAGCCATTTTTGACTTAAACTCAATATTTTTTACTGATATGGCAAGCCATTATTGCATGTATCACCTTTACACTTATTAAGCATTGTATTTTCAAAAAAATACAGCAAGCCATTTTTACATAATGTTCATTCCCTTAGTCCCTTTATTAATCAGGGGTCGCCACAACGGAATGAACCGCTAACTTATCCAGCATTTGTTTTACACAACGAATGTCCTTCCAGCCCAAAACCAGGAATACATAATGTTCATGTCCAGTTTTTGCACTCATAAAGACTGTCATAGAAACATCGGGGTTCATTAAGATCACTCATATTGCCAAGAAGCTTTGATGTATCATCACTAACCTGTCAAATGTCCCCATAGCAATAAAACAGTATAACCTAGCAACCATTTAAATATAGCAATATCTCTACATCAGAACATCTTAGGGACCTGGGCATTGGCTTGTTTGACTCATGCTAGCAAATGGGACTTCCTGTGTACTTTGCATGGTAACAATGATAATGGAAGCCAAGTGATAAAAACGATTAGCTACATGCTATGAATGATTATCTAAATGCAATAACATATGCTAGGAATGCCTACTAAGTATTAGCATTTGATCAAACATGTACACGAGCATTACCATTTAGCAACTGGTTAGCAACCACCTAACAATGCCATAAACATTTGACTTTCTCAAGCCAACATCAAAGTTTATCAATGAACATTAGGTTCTAGTTTAATATTGATCTACAGTAGTACTTATTGTAATGTATTATAAAAAAAACCCACTGGAAATGTATGATTTTCAAATATAAAATAGTTCAATATTGAACCAATTGACATGGAAACACAGGTAGACTTAAAAAAAAAAAAAAAAAGCATTTCATAAAGAGGAACTTTAGTCGCATCCATTGAAATGACCTCAACCAGAAAAGTGAAGTTAGTTTTGAGAACTAAATGTTTAATCAGCTCTTAGATCATCAGGAACGTTTCCTCAAAATATGACCCAAATCCAAAAATTATATTAACTGACATAACATTTAATGCGCTGGATAAATTCATTTCAAACAAAGAAAATAAGAGTTTATCTTATTCCATTTCTTTTATGTCTTTGCAAGTTTTTAAAAACTCACCTAATAAAAGCACCTTAATTTCTTTTCTTTGTTGTTTCTTCTGCTCCTGAAGAATTCGTTTGATTTCATTGTTTATGTCGATGGCATTCTTCTCTTCTTCAGACAAGAACCAGACAATACATGGACAGGTGTAGTAGTAATGACCCATTTCAGAGACAGAGTCACTACAAAAACAACAGTAAATCATATATTTAATTGTTTATTAGGATATCCAGCATGTTTGTAAATTCTGCATCTCAAGCACAAAATAGTGGAAAATCTCAACTCTGTTAGCTTAAGTTTTTTTAGTAACAAAATCTCCAATTACAAAATGTTCCAATTACATTTTAATTTAAATGTTAAATTGCATTAAATCATTTTTAGTTTGCTGTAAGTCGTACATCGTCTGTTAGGAAAATTAATAGAAAATGACTGAAATGTACCAGCAATCCTGGAGTGAGTCATATATAGCCTATAGAATGCAATCCTAATATTTCAAAAGAGGTTTAACAGTGCAAGTCACTGTCAAAATTACTGGCATAGCCAATGGGATTAGAGAAAATAGACTTTAGGTTACTGTTCATAGAAGTGACCTGGGATTTCGGTTTGTGGAAGGTTTAAAGAAATAGTATTTGACCATTTTTTTTATAGATGCAAATGTACAAAGTAGTGCAAGCCATGCAAACTTGACAGTTTTTGATTAAAATGTATTCTGCATCTCAAACACAAAATGGTGGAAAATGGCAAATGTTAGTAGTTATAAAAAGTTTAACATTAGTCTAAGTTAAACAACATTTAATAACATAATCGAATGTTCTAATTACATTTTACTTGACATGTTAAATTACATTAAACATTTTTAATTTGCTGTAAATTGTTCATTGTTGTCTGTCATTAGATCTTAAGGAAAATTAATGGAAAATTACTTAAAATGTCAAAAAAAAAAAAATTGGCACACTGCCATTTTAGCTCTCAATTTTTTTTAATGCAACAATGTTTCGACCTACATGATCAGGTTAAACAGGACAATTGGAAAACTCAAGAAATAGTCAAGCTCTGTTCCTCACAACTGCAAACAATAATCACACCAGCCAACCAACGACACAGTGAACAAGGGGAAAAAAACAAAACAAATACACACATACAACAAAATATATATGACAACATAATACATACAATTACAAAAATGATTTCAAAACAAAATCCAAATTAAACTCCAGCGGAAACAAAGTATTCAGTGTGTAAACACACCTGCAAACAATAATCATATCAATCAACCAACAGGCCAGTAACAGAATACATATGACAATATGAGATACATACATACAATTACAGAGAAGAAGGTGATGTGTAGAGCTTGACTATTTCTTGAGTTCTTCAATTGTCCAATTGTCTTGTTTAACGTGATGAAGACCATCTAAATTGAGAGCTAAAGTGGCAGTGTGCCAATTTTCTTTTGACCTTTTGTCACAGTGTTTGTTTTTGATCGAGCACCTGCCTTTGAGAATCCCAGATGTGTGCATATTTCTGTTTTTTGTTGCTAAATGACTGAAATGAATGTCCTATATATAGACAGTCATATATAGCCTATAGATTGCTAGCTTGACAGAGATTTCTTTTTAACTGTGTTGGGAAAAAAAGTAATATATTACAATCTGTAGTAAAAAAAAAACATAACTCTATATATATATATATATATATATATGCTTTAAACAACAAATGCATGACAATAGAACAAATAGAACAAAAGTTTCTATAGCACTATTCAAAAAAAGTAATTGTTCAGTTCCTTATAAAGTAAAACAGTTTTTTTGTTGGAAAATTTACACTTATGAATTTGAAACTTAATCAACAAAAGAAATAGATTAATAACAAAAACTTCATTATTCAGATAATTAAAATATACAAAATTTCCGTTTTTAAAATGCTAATTAAAATGAAAGAAACCATCATACCAAAGCTTTTTAACATAACCACAGTGCCAAAAGATTGGTGTTTCCAAATGCAAAGAACAAAAAGAGCAATTTTTGTCAATATCCTTTTTAAATTTACTGAGAAAATGTTTAACCGGATAGAATTTATGAATTAGTTTAAAAGATATTTCTTTTATCTTACTTATCAATCTTGACCTGAGATATTTAAAAAGAGGTTTAACAGCGCTCGTCTATGTCAATACTACTGGCATAGTCAATGGGATTAGAGAAGATGGTCTTTAGGTTACTGTTCATAGAAGTGAAGTAAGATTTCGGTTTGAGGAAATATTTAAAAAATTGTATGTGACCATCTTTATAGATTCAAATGTACAAAAAATGGTACAAGCAGTGCAAACTTGACAGTTTTCCATTAAAATGTATTATGTAGACTATTTATAATGTTACTTTAGGTCACATATGAGGATAAAAACAATAAAACTGTTAACGATTACAATTGGCTTAAGAGTAATAATGAAAATTTGCAAATTGCAACCAGCAGAACCTGGAAAATTTATATATATATATATATATATATATATATATATATATATATATATATATATATATATATATATATATATATATATATATATAATAATATATAATAAACATACCCATAAAACTGGTTTGTTCAAGTCTTTTACAAGACTTTACAATATTATGGGTGGATCCTAACCACTGTGTAAATTTTGCTCTAGTCTTTCTGTGCTAAAATATATTAATCTGAGTCTAATGAAAAGAAATTAAAAATATTTGGAAACCAACCAAACAATCAGACATACATTACTGTATTAAATAACTATAAAACAGCGTTAAATGTCTCACCTTCATTCGTCAAAACCACCGAGTGAAAAGGAAGACATAATCCATCTTCCGTGAAGTGAACAGCGGCTGTGCCAACAGTGAGTGTTATGTCATTTGCGTCACGTTGGTTCACTTGGCTACAGTACAAATTAGTCGAGCTTCCCGAAAGTCTTTAATGCATAACATGCAGGGTATGTAAGCCAGAGGAATGCGCCCTGACGTTATTCCTCAGGTTACGAACTACCGTTTACAGTGGCACGCATGTTTTTAACTTAAAAGTGCTTTTTACAAAATGTTGATTTATTATAGACCTGTGGTTTCTTTCATTTTAATGTATTTATTTAATATTTTATTAAGAAGGTATTTTTATTCAATTTGAGGATGTAAATTGACAATACTGTGTCAGCTTTTGTGGAGTCATTTGCTATCTCTCTCGCTCTCTCTGTGGGTTTGTGTTTATGAAAACACAAATGTGTTTAATGACATGGTATGACAGTGTTACAATGTTGATGTTGTAGGCTATATGAGGACATGGCTTTTGTCCTCATCGTTTAAAATACTTTTTAAATCCTACTTAACAACATTTTTTCATTCAAATGTTGCCACGGGCTTCCTGTAAGAGTTGGTTTTAAGGGTAGAGTAAGGCAATTTAATAAGCAGTTTTACAGTATAAAATACATTATGCCTATGAATTGTGGGCCCCATAAATGGCATACTCAAACATGTGTAAGTGAGTGTGTGTGTACAGATTGATGTTAATTTGACACTATTGAATTACTGAAGTGTCAACCCATGCGTCCTCTGCACTTATTGATGATTTTTCCCCTTAAATTTTGAGGCACGGTGCAGGAATTTATTAGCATAACATTTACATCACCCTTCTGTGTTATGACTATGGCTACAGCCAAACAGTGACAGTTGCATTATATGTTTTCTTTAATGAAAGCAACATTTAAATGAGAGAAAGTCAATCAGCAAACAATGAATAGTTTACTTTAATTTATTACCCAGCACTCTCTCTCTCTCTCTCTCTCTCTCTCTCTCTCTGTGTCTGTCTGTGTGTGTGTGTGTGTATATTTACATAGACAACAGTTCTGTCTGGTTCTTAAATCTAATTGGCTGATAGCCTTGTAATATTCTGCAAATAACAGGACTGGTCCAGGTCTTCCCTCTTCACCTTTGTGTTTTACTCCGCCCACATACAGCAACAAGCAGAGGACACTCTACAATTTGACAAATATTGCTGCTGTTGGCAGTGGTGTACTCCTAAAAAATGATGGTGTACTATTATCCACCCAACCCAAATTTAAAATAAAAGTATAAAAAATAAACATTTTTTCCATCATGAACTGAACAAATGTAAATTCCAGCACATCTCAATATACAGATTATTTCAAAATTAAATAAATGATGGCAGTCAAACATTGTCTAAGATCATTTTTGTATCTAGTTTAACCAATCTTTCCACAATATATATTATAATTATACATTTGTCAATAAAATAAATTTGTTGTATGCTGAACTGTACACCTGTCACACTCTAAAATTTAATATTAATTTGGTTAAGAGCTTATTAAAAATAAATAAACTAAATTTGTAAATTAACATTGTGAACACACAAATATACATTGTGAACACACTTTTAATGTGTGATGACAACTTTTTATATATTTTTTCAAAACGTGTGTGGTGGTGGAAATGACATTTCCACAGTTTATTGTGAAAAAATCAAAAATAGCTTCACCGATTAGCTTTGAATTGATATTAGCCTTTCATGTATACAAGACAATCTCATTTACCTTCATTTCGTTTGGTTTTTAAAAACATCTTTGAAGGTAAACATGTTTGGAAATGACTTGTATAAAATGTATTTGCTTATCAAGCAGTATTTACCTTGATTTTTCTTCAAGTGTTGTTCATAAAAATGCAAATCCCTCCATCTTGAACATGTTCTCAGATGGCACTATTCATTTTCATAGAAACCACCTAAATAATCTTTCATACAAACTTTTAAAGCGACATTACAGTGTTGTGGTGGAAATGACACTCATACTGTGCGACAGCTGTATTTTGTATAAAAAATAATATTGCTAATAGTCTCAAATTAATAACTATAAAATATTTTATTTATTTCACAAGCGCTTAATTAAGATACATTAATAGATACCAGATAAATAATATTTTAAAATGGTATTTTCATTGTTGAAGTTTAAAACTCTGGGGGCTCTATTTTAATGGTCCATGCGCAGAGCGCAAAACGCAGGGCGCAAACGATTTCAGGGCGTGACAGAACACATTTGTGCTAATTTAAGGACGGGAAAATCTGCTTTGCGCCGCGGCGCATGGTCTAAAAGGGTTGAGTTTATTTTCTTAATCAGTTATAGGTGTGTTTTGAGAATGAACCAATTAGAGTCTCATCTCCCATTCCCTTTAAGAGCCAGCTGTGTCGCGCCAGGAGCGCATTTGCTATTTGCAGGACGCAAAGTAAGTCTAAGTGGAAAAAATGAGCATTTCACTAGCAAACAGTTAACAGGTAACAGTTTTTTTTAACAGAAAACTGTTAAACAGAGCATCTACTGGGTGAGAATGAGAGATAATGGAACTACTTTCACATTCGCTCTTTGATAGGGAAACCTTTACGCACAGACATCAATTAGTCTATAAATAAATATTTTTGTTTGTTAAGCGTAAAGATTCTTTTCAAAACTATTTCTAAATTCAGTTCTAATTTCCAGCAAAAAAATAAATGAACAATTATAACAAAATGTGCTCAAAAACCTGAGTTATATCCTAAAACACATGCTGTGCCCCATATGGTCTAAAACCTGACAGGTGGGCAAATCTAAGCTTGTTTTTAATAAAACAAATATAAATATGGATATAACAAATCATACTGCTAATAATAATAACATTATACAAAAGCAAATTGTTATGAATGAACTGAAAAAGCCTCCCGATATGAAGACATAAAAGCAGTCATTTTTCATATTTATGTAGGATAGAAAATAATATGTTTTGTAATATTTTAATCCTTTATATTTATATCCTATATCTATTCTTATTATATCCTATATATATATCCTTAATATTAAAATTTTTTCATATGTAAAGATATTTGCCTATTGCTTTCTTGTGCGTATTAAGCAGTGCATAAGCGAGGCACAACTCTGCGCCGGAGTTTAGAACGGGTTTGTTTGGGTCTAATGAAAAATCTATTATAGTTTCTCAAAATAGCAACGCGCCAGCCGTGCGCCTCAGAACGCCTTTCTTTTTAGACCAGAACGCCTATGGGCGCACAAATGAGCACTAATGCATTTGCTATTTAAACAGCTTAGCGCAACGCCTCAAAACGACTCTTGCGCCAAGAGGTTGAATAATATGAAAAATATATAATAGAAAGCTAGTAAAAAAAAATTTAAAGTAGGTTTTAATGTTAGTTTGACAAAGAAAAAGGAATTTGAACAATTATATATATATATGATCAAAGGACATAAAAGTGCCCGTAGTTGAAGAATTACCCATTTATGAAATGAACCTGCTCCATAGCAGGTTTGAGCTACCAGAACTGTTGCTTTGAAAGTCTCAGATAAGTTTTGAAGAACGAAACGATCCTGGATCATGCCAAATCATCAATATCCAAATCCAGCTAGCTGTGAAATCCACCTATGAAGAACTTACCCCTGGGCTTCAGTTCATGGCATCAGGAAAAACAGTGGGGGCTTCCCTGCTTGCTTCAGCCTATGTAACCCGTTGAGCGATAAAACAATGCAGTCTTCTGTAGCACACCGTCATGTTGTCTATAATAGTGTTGTCCTGGGGTCTGTTCTTCGTACCTCGCTTGAATGATCGAAGATGATTTGACAGATCCTGGATCTTTTAATCTTGATAACCGATCTCTGGCTATTTTGGTTCTTCAAACAAGTTTGCGAATCAGATTAAAATGTCTGGATGAATTGATCCTAGATCGCTGCGTGTGTTGTGAAGGGCAATCTATCGATCCTCGAAATCATGATCAGCAATGCAACGATTGGCTGACAGCACAGCAGCATAATGACATCATCTGAGTAATATTCAATTATCCATGTGAACAAAATTACATCAAATTTGTAGTAAGCGGTTTGTTAAAGGGCCATGAAACCCCCTCGTTTTCACACCTCTACTTTGGAAAAAGTCAGAAAAGTGGGCGTGTCCAGCTCTGTTTAGGGGGGAGTGTCAGAGGAAGAAAAGAGGCTTGGTATGGGAGTGTCTATTTGGGCGCGCTGAATTTCAGAGTCAAAACACACACCCACAGCGAACAATGTGACTGTGTTTACACGGACATCTGTAGTCGAATTATTTGCCAAATTATTAAATGGTGGACTTTAACTGCAGTTTGGCTCTTTCATTCAAGGAATTCATTAATGTCCCTCCCGACAAACGTGATATTTGATTTGAGGAACTGCTCTAAGCGTGTATTTTTCATGCAATGTTTGATACCGCACGGCGAATGAGAGAAAAAAAACTCAGAATTTCCCGGAAACTTAGATACACACGGCAGGTAGCGTCAGAAAGCCCCGTGTGTTATGCAATAGTTTGTGCAATAGTTTGTTTGATACGAATAAAATACGAACTGAATAAACAAAGAGCACTGGTTGCTCACCAAATCTGTAGAGACAGGACAATCACCAGCAACTAGAGCCGTGTCTTTATTTAGAGGTGACTAAAGCGAATCTGGATCTCAGCGTTTGCAGATGAGAACAGCTCTCAGGTAAACAATAATCCTCCTTAGACACGTAAGTTATTGTTGTCGAGCGTCGCGTACACTGTCATTCACACGTGAGTCTGAGCTCTCACAGAGAGAAAATGAAAACGAAACTTAACTGCAGCAAACTATAAAAGCAACACTTCACGCTTGTTTTGCCAACACAACGTGGCGTCTTTGCCGTCTACACTCTGACAGTAATGAATATTAATGAAGTTGCACAATAGAGCGCGCTGATTGGTTTGAACCAAGCCCTACTCATGCATTAATGCATTACACTGTAAGACGTAATAAGACACACTCTGGCACAGGCGTCCAGTCTGCACGCTGGAATACAACGCTATTATGTCATGGCCATGACGCAGCTTCAAAAATTCGTTTCAAACCGGAAGTACGAATTTGCTTGAAATAACGCAAAAACAACCAATTTACA